GCTCAGATGACTCAGCTCAGATGACTCAGAATGGGTGGGCTTTGGGACCCCTTTTATCCCCCAAAGTCCTTGCTTGGTTGATTCACAAGTTGATGGGATTGGGGGGAGGGTTTCCATGTGCTCAGGCCCAACTTCCTTTGTCTGGTTCAAGTCCTTTGCTTTTTTTCCTTAATGACTTGCTTCCTTCTTATCTACCTCCCTGAAGGGATCATATAGATAAGTTTCCTGGTTTTGTCCTCTCTGCTTACGTGCCTGCTTCATCTTTAGGTTATGGCAGCTTTGGCCTAGTGTCAGAGTCTCCCAAAGTTCCTCCCTGGTAATAGACCGGGAATGTTCTGGGAGCCAAGTCATCGCCTTTGGTTGCCTTCATATTGGCAATCAGACCAGATTCCATGACTGAATGAAAGGTCAGCCTTCAATGAACGTACCTAGAAGTCTACACCTTCTGATAACAGTCCTCCATATATTAATTGCATGCTGCGCAAAGAAATGTGTGCTTTAGTCTGTCTGCTAGCGAGCAATTCCACAATGCTGAAGTTGACAGTTAGAAGAGGAGGAAAAGCATCGCCTAGAGCAGTGTTTCTCAACCTTGGCAAGTTGAAGATGGGTGGACTTCACCTTCTGGGAGTTGAAGTCCACCCGTCTTCAAGTTATCAAGGTTGAGAAACACTAAGGGGAGCAAGGAGGCAGCTTTCCTCCACCTCTAAAACTCAGTTGATTAAATGAGGTAAGTGGGGCAGGGGAACCAAGATTGGGCCTGTTTTGGGCTGAACTTGTGTTTAGAGGCATCCTGTTGCTCCCTTCTATGGCTAGATTCATACAACACAATAAGCCATGGTTTATTTATCCAAGGTATGCTTCCTAAATCAAATTGCCTGCATTGTCAAACCATGATTGATGATGAGGAGGATGTGCCATCAAGGAGGAGGAAAAGCATTGCCTAGAGCAGTGTTTCTCAAGCTTTGCCAACCCCTAAGAGGGGGGGGGTCTTCAACCCCACCCCCCCCCACCCAGCCCCCGCGGGGTCACGCCGGTGGGGGCTGAGGGGGGTGGGCACCCCCCC